AGAGAGAGAGAGAGAGAGAGAGAGAGAGAGAGAGAGAGAGAGAGATTATACAGTATCATCGAGAACTTTAACGATCACCTGCCGAACGATCGCGCGTTATCACGCGTCGTTTTCAACGTTGACACTCACTTCTCCACTCTCGGGCAAATGTGATCCTCAGCCAGCGAGTTGGAAAAGGGCACCATCCTGAAGAGCGCGATCACGAGGAAGACCCGCGAGATCCCCGAGACACTCATCTCAATAAAATTATGGATTCTAGAAAAATGCCCTCTTTTCTCTATGCAAAATTTATCATCTCCGTGCAGTCGGTGAATATTCAACGAAATTTCCACGATGTACTCACTATGGCGGATATCTTGTTGGCACGAAGAAGAGGCGCAAGTGATTCTCCTTGACTTATGCCTTAATCCCAGAATTACCTTAGAATAACCTGTGTAGAGAAAATCCAGGCGGCTGTAGATGTTGCTCGAGGAAGAGTGACGCTTCCATCTTCTCGTGTCACATCGTCCCGCTCAGAAAAGAAAAAACTGTCACCGAACAGAAAGTGTCTCTCGTTATTGTCGATAGCTCGAAGCTTGGGAAGGAAATAGGATTTTTCAGAAATACGTGCCAAAATTTTGCTCTAGACGATATATCGTAGCATCCAGTTGCCAATTATAGATTACGATAATTTAAACGAAGTAGTTGCTACGTGTATGTATGTATGTGTGTATGCAAACTGCAGCGATTGCCGTTTAGACACTCGGATACAGTCGACGATACTTCACGCGAACGACAACCGAAAGTGCCCCCTCCGAAATGACGTTCTCTTTGACAGGAAGTATTAACTGCTTCGAATTGGTCAATCGTGGCCCGGAAGCGTGGCATTCAATATTGAATACACGTCAAGTGCGAATGTCCAAAAGCGTGACGTCGGTAATGCGAAGCGCGTGAAAAACGAGTCGCGTTAAACGGTCGAAATCGATATTTTTGCAAAAGAAAGAGAGGGAGTGGCGAATTTCGTGGTAATTTTCCCGACAATCTGACCATACAGATGTTATCCGTCGTCTGTTTAATATCAAATTAAGCTATAATGGTGAGGTATTATCAATGTATCGTTTACTACGAATAAAAAATAGGAGAGCATATATATGAGATTAACTAATCAATTAATTATGTCTTCGTAAATGAAGGAAACACGAATGCTATTTTTGTCATTCAACTTTAGTTCTACAGAAATGATTCTGATCGCTATTTTTGCGCTAAACCATCGGTCGTTAAAGTCCCGCGAAACAGATTTAACGGGTGGATTTTGCTGTCACAGTTTTGCGCGTTGCGTCATCGATGTTAATCCGATTAACTAATACCATTGCTCTGACGACGCGTACTTAAAGTCTCTCACATGTGCCACGTAATACTATCTTTTTTCTGCGCTGTCGTAACTTGGCGAGATAAAAAGTGTACGAGAAGCCGCTCATTCAAACGCGTCGGCCAGCTGCTCCACTCGTGAGAATTTCGTCTCCTGTTTAGAAGCCTTACGACAGCCAGTTCTGTTAATCAGGAAGAAACTATCTCGCGTTTTCCAGCTTCGTTTATGATACACAAGCGTGAGAAAGCTAATCGTTTTAAACGGGATATACAGTTGTAACGTAACTAACGGACTCACGGACAGCGGTTAATTAATCAGCGAGTTGAGTATATCGGGACAAAACTGAATTTGTGGGGAAAATGTCGTGGGACAAAATATCGGATAAAGCACTGTCGACGAAATGTCCGTCAATAACTTTAACGCACCGCATTGCACGTAGAATGATACGTACATTTTCGACGTATATAATTCTAAAATATTATCCTACAATATATATAAATTCACACACAGTGGTAATTTAATTTATTAATCGTGAAATTATTTATAATTAATGAATAATTAATTATGAAGGAATTATTTTTAAAATCTCTACTTGTCAAGAAAAAATTACTTAGGGCGGTTTACATTTACATAATTATTCCGTAAAACGCGAATGGAATATCTATGTCTAGCAAATTTGTAAATTAAATTGTATCATTAGAATTAAATCTATTTTGCTAATTTAGCTCCTATTGCGTTGTAGAATTTAACATAATTTAATCTAACCAAAATTTCGCCTCGGGTTTTATTCAACACTTGTTTTGATAGTCTAAAATCTATAATACAACCTATTTTGACGTTAAAGAAATTGAAAAGGGAAATTTCGGATATTGTCAGAGTTAAAGTAGGAGTAAATTGTGTCGTTAGAATTAAACCTACTTTGCTAATTTAACTTCTATTGTGTTTAACAAACTAGGTCTAAAATTTCGACTCGAAATGAATTTGTCTAATAATAGTCAAGCAAGATGTTAATATATAATATTTTGAATAAAATATTATAGTCATAAAATAAAATATAAAATTCGAGGACAATTACTTCTTAGTCTTAATTTAGAAATCAACATCTATTCCTCGGGGGAGAGTCTTAAGTGAATTTCATTACAGAGATTACCGGATATAAAGTTTCTGAGTGTAAGTATCGCGGATTATATAATTTGCCGTCACTGAAACGCCTAAATCTAGTATCTATTTATCTTATGCGAAGTCTTATGCGAAGCTGCGGACCAGCAATGAAAATCTAAATGCAAATCAGCTTCGTGGATGTTACCTCGATGTGCATTATGCATTTTACCGCACGCCTTTACGAGCGCGCTTATGTAATTGTAATCGCTACGATCGCGCCAATTAGGCCGACGCGGAAAAACTAATTTTTTCTCGCAACAGTTTACTGCTTTTACGACGGAAAGACGAAGAGAGTGAAGCAACGCTTGCCCTTCTTGCGATCGTCCGGCTGTCTGTCTCATAAAAGGGAGAAAGGATACGCGTCGTGTTATCGCCATTCTTTGGCGTGCAGTTTAAATTGCATCCGTTGACATGCCATGCGGGCTAAGTGCGTTTATTCATGTGCAAAAAGGGTCGCCTTTCACTGTCACGTGCTGTTGTTTCTCTCTGATAAGACGTGGACGTATTGCTATTATCGCAATAACGGTAGAAAATTATTATTGTTCGATAATTGCTAACAACCATACTAGACAACAGCATATTTTAACAGCTACCATATTTTTACAATAATATTTTCGCTGTGCAATATTCGCAAAAATAAAATTTTGTTGAAACACGATGTGTATATGGTATAAGATTACTGCAAGTCACACTGTGAGATAAAGAGTTAATCGTCTTTATTTCTTACTCACTCACTGTCTCACAGATGAGTACTGCAGTCTAGGCACAGTCTCTGATTTAATCCGCGTAGGTCTTTGAACGTTGTCACCTCCGCGTTAACTCCAGATCTCACCACGTTTACCTCAATCTTCACCGAGAACCACACATCCAAAGTGACATTCGAAGTAAAAACAGCTTTTCATCGTATGACGAAAAGCTCTCCTTGCACGAGATACCGTTGTAACGAAATGGCACGCGGATATATTTGCACGATTCTATTCGCACCACGCGAATACACGAAGGATAGTTCGTTGTATCGCGACTCGTCGTTTCTATCACGACACAGATTGCGACCGCAGGAAATACTGTGTCGATCACACACGGTGATTAAAGGTCTTTCTCGCTAATTGGACATAAGCCGGCAAGGGAAGGCGATTTCTGTCACTCCGAGTTCCCTCAAAATCAGGAAACAGGTCGGTCTTTGTCTCGCGTGAACACGGCGATCTTCTCGCGGCTTTCACGTTGTTTTTTGCAACTCGAGTAGCTACCGCAAGGGTCGAGCCCTCGCTGCGGCAAATGTCACTGCCGCTTTCGCAGAGCGATTCGCAACTGGCCCCAGGTTCGCAACGAGCAATTGGCGTCGCTGGCACTCGGAATGCACTTGTGGCACAATGAACTCCGACCCTCCGACAACGGCGAACACAACCACGACGATGACGACGACGATGACGACGACGACGACAACGATGACAACGACGAAGCCGAGGAGGGGCCGAACGGAGGATATACGCGGAGGGCCCTCGTTCCAGGAGAAGGAGAGGGACTGTGTTGTACTATCATGCTGGTACTTCAGTTCGCAAAGCGACGAGGATATCCTGCGGAGACATTGACATTGCGAGCGGCACGGAGTGTCATTGCAGAGTAATCAGTAGCGGAGCATGACAACAACGGAGGAGAATGCCAGACACACCGTGTGTATCGCGGCGTTTATGGAGAAACGGATCGAATCGATTGCGCGACCCGGATTCGAAAACGTCGTTAAGAGAGTACGGCAGTGCAAAAGAAGAAGGCGGGAATGACGAAATGCTCGAACGGGCCGAAGAAGCGCTGATTGAAACGGAAATCGGCTCCTCTTACGTTAAGTGCAATTGACAAAAAAAGAGAACGTTCAGTCGATACGGTACGTATCGATACGCGCGTTTTCTCGATCGCCTTTTCGCCCGTGAAGGCAACAGATGGGTACCGACGCGGTGAGGCGATATGCAAGAATTTCTAAAGTTGATTTCGATCGGAATTTACGCAGAAGCGAGAAATGGAGTCATTATTAAATCGCGTTAATTGGACGGTCACTTCATCCATCGCACTGTTGCCTTAATTCGCCACGTTTATCTTTACGTAAATCTTTATTTGCATTGTCTGCGAGTTAGGAACGCGCGCTATGTATCTTTCACCATCGTAGTTGAGACAGCCTATTCTCGTTTACTGGCTGATGTGACGGATGCGAATGCGAGTGGCGTAACGTTAAAAAAAGAATTGGAATAGATAGGCGAAAGCCCCGAGTTTAGAGTTGTCTGTCGGAATAGCCGAGAGCAGGCAGACTCGTGTAATGAGATGATTGGAAGGGCAATTCACCGTGTTCCCTCTTGTTCTCGCGGCACGCAATAGATCGGGACTACGGTCCGGCCGTCGTTCGAAGCATCGACCGTTTAATCTCGTAACGCTGAACAACATCCTGCTAAATGGAGTAATTAGTAATTACGGAAAAGAGCACCGGCGCAGCTGGTGCCGCCTTTGCGTTTCGCTGAAATTAGCCATTGCTTAGAAATAAATTCAGCCCGGCTTGACTTTGGCTTGATCGCGTATAGCCTAGAGCCTTTACAGTGAAAAGACGACGTTTCACAAAACGCCTAGGATTTTCCTTGTAAAAGAATCAGATTTATTCTGTGATGTGCTTACATTCCTATCGTATTGATACAAGATATTCACAAAAATTTAATGCATAAACGCAGCTTTTAAATGACATATGTGTATCGTAAGATACATAAGAAAATTTTCAATTTTGTCTACAAAGATTATATTCATTTTGATTTCTGCGAGTTCTATCACATTTTACGAAGAAAAGTAGCTTTTTTAGTAGCCATTATAATGAAAAGAAGACGTTTAAGATTTCACGTTATAAAACGTCTAAGGTTTTACATTTTATACTTCTTACATTGCTATTTTCATCGAAATAAAATGTTCACAGAAATTTAACGCACTTATAAGCGCAACTTTTAAATGATATGGAAGTATTGTTGAAGAATTTTCAACTTTGTCCATGAAGATTGCATTGATGTGCTGTTATCAGTTTAGAGAAAATAAAATGCACGGTGTGGGTGTAGCAGATGCGTCTGTCTCGCATCCTTTCCCTCGTCATATTTTGCGTTATCAAACGTGAATGCATGTGCCTCGATGATGCAGCGTGTCCTACGTGTGCATTCTGTCGTGCGAATGCAGCCAGCTAAATAAACATTTTGTAATCGCGGGGTGCAATAAACGTGTGCGAGTGCGCGACGTAGTGTTCGAGCTGCATGTTTCCCTGCGTGATACATTCCGGCGATCACTCGATGCGCGCAAAAATGTGGGAAAGTGTGTCTTGTAGGAAATGTGTCATTCGAAAAGTTATGAATAAAACTTAAAATTATCAATTATATACGAAAGCAATTGCTCCTAAAGATTTACAAAAACGTCATAATTGCTTCCTTATATCGTAGAATTTGAATAAATTTCACCGGTACAAAATGCAAAACAGGCTGAGCGGAAAAAGAATAAACCGATTTGTTACGAGCTGTTACGGAGCTCCATTCGAATCGAGCGCTCTCATCGGCTTACCGTAATTTTTTCTTCTTCAAATGACGTACACGAAAAAAAAGGTTTGGTTGAATTAACCAAATATCTGGTCAAATATGAACGATCCAGAAATTTCGATTGAAGTAACCCGAATTCTGTTTAAGTCAACCAAAAATCTTGTTAACTTAAACAAAATTCGGGTTACGGAATTTCTGGATCGTTCATATTCGACCAGATATTTGGTTAATTCAACCAAACCTTTTTTTCCGTGTAGGAAACATGCATTTCTTCATCGATATGATTTTTCTGCGCGAAATATACACGTTCGACGATTTTATTTCATAAATCATCAATCGCAATTAACGCGAATTAACGATGACTCTACTTCGAATCTTCAACATATGACAGAGAAAAACAATTTTGTTATCCATTTGGTCGTTACTTCGTGAAAAACTTCACCTTTTTCGGTCGTTTGTATCTCGGAAACTATCGGCGTTTCAACGTTTACGCTCAAGAAAATTCTACAGAATTCTATTAAGAGAACCTGTCAATATAAATTAAAGTCACGAGAACTTGGATATATCTTGTATGTTGTCTCGTCGCATCAGTGCCCATCACGTTACCTTCACGGTTGAAAAAGCGACTGAGGAAACGCCGTACCGATACGTACCGACACCTGCGTATTTCAAGGCAATAATTATCGATTCTCGCAAGGTTTATCGAGTCGTATTCTGCCTTGGTCAAAGTTGCCAAAGTCGCGAGTAGGTTAGATATTCTCGTTATTGTCGGCGCATAAATATGCCGCAAAGCGTAGAGTCGTTTTTCCACGGCGGCACTTGTGCTAGCGTCGTGACCGAATTTTCGCTCAATCGTAACAGCACAGCCGAGCTAATTAATATGAAACGACGTTTTAACGACGGCAGAGCCGGCCGGGGTGTTGCGCGCACCGGCGCGACGCCGATTAATTCATTTCGCAATTTTATGTGAAATCACGCGGAGCGTCGTTGCTCAACAAATACGCGGCATGGAGGATGCGGGCATCTGCGTATGAAATATGCGTATATTTTGTAGAAACACGACGGAGGCGGTGGCACGACGACCTTGTAAATTATCGGCCTCATTATCGTATATTTTGGACAAGAGAGATCGATTGCAGATATGAACAAGCATCACAGAAATTCTGTAACCTCTCGTGATGAATAATAAATGTACACGGAGGAAAGGTTACTCGAAAATTCACTTGTTAGATATACACAGTTTATTTCATAGAAAACATAAACTTTACTTCATACAGAAATAAACCTCATATCCCACAGGTATACAAATTTTCAAGTATTTTCGCTCAGTGAAAATTTCGCCCAACTTCTCATTGTTGTTCGTCATTGTTTGTCGAATGAAACTCAAATAAATGTCGATTGCAGGATGTATGCCGGTCGCGAAATGGTTTGCACACTTTTTATCGGGTGAAATTGCAGCGCGTTAAATTGTCACAATTGAGAGCCGCTGGATTGCATGCGTAATAGTCGGCTGCGATAGGGACTGAAGTAACAGGGTATGACAATAAATTTAAAAAGAAGAATGTACACTTTCAAATAAGAGAACATTATTCAAGTAACTTTTTCAAATATTTTATCAAGTAAGATAACAGAATGCACAGTGGCTCGCGATTGTGACAACCTGAAGCGCTGCAATTCGATGGTATTGATAACTGATGCATCTTCCAACTGATAGCGCTCGATCTCGATGCGGTGACGGGTTCGTGGCTAGAGCGCGGACAATTATGTATATCGACGAGCATTAATTTTATCAGCCGGTTGTTGGCGAGCGGAATTGTCGAAGCTCTCTTCGCGATATTGCAATTAAGCGCGGCGATTTGCGGACGTCGAGCGACCGAGGGAGGAAAACGGGGCCGAGAACTACGGACTCGCCCGTGGCATTTAGACCGACTTAACTTCGCTGTCCTTGCGTCCAGAGTGGATAAACAAGCTGCCGCCGCAAGGAGCGGCCGTTGCGAACAACGTCTGTTCGCTTTTCTGCCGATTTTTCGTCTCCCGCGATAGGTACGTTCGTACCGCGCTAATCGTTTGCACCGACGATACGGCCAATAATACGATGATTATCGTAGCCGACGATTGCTCAAGAATAATTACATATCCAGAGGATCTTTTCGTAACCGTCGACAATGCTCGCGGAGGAGCGTACCATGGAAAATTGGGCATCAATAGTTTATTTTGCAAATAATACGTAGAGGTTCCGACAATTCACAGCACATCCGTTGTGTGCGGATAGAACTCATTAGATTGAACACAAAATTCCTCTATCACTTCGCAAACAATCGTGTCAAATTTTGTTGCTTATGGTTATGCAAGAATCCAAGCCACATAAAGTAGGTTTCGAGAAAAATGAAGACGAAAGTTTTATACGTGATTTAAAAAGTATAGATAGCACTAAGGTTCTTCGCAATCGTTCGAGAAGTCAAACATAATCAATGTTCTTCTCTTTAAGGATATGCTTAACAAAAAAACGGATAAAAAACAGATAATAAAAATAACACAACTCTCTCTTCCTCTCTCTTTCTTTTTCTAGTAGAGAAAATAAAACTGTTTTTAATTAATTTTAGACGCTCACAAGACTTGGATCTTTTTCGTTTTACATAAAAAGAGATATGGACTATCTATTGGTAAAACAGAAACTCAAAAATCATAATTTTGTTAGATTATTCTTGCGTAACTGTGGCCAATTAAAGAAGATTGATGAATGATCATATGATACGTTAGATGAGAGTTAGATGGTGGCAACGTCTGCCATCTCGTGCTTGTACGTTAAGTCAAACTTAACAAAAAAAGTCCTCTACC